TAATAATATTTATTTAAGATAAAAATCGTAAATTTCTTCATATATTAAATTATTAAATAATAATAAAAAAATTTTATAATTTTCCAGCTAACACCTTCCATGACTGCTGAAGATCTTTGTCTATATGCATTCTCTCATGCCGACATTAAAGAAAGTTGTGAAAAATTAGCTGTTTTTGAAGTTATTTGCAATGAAGAATTAGGTTATATTTAGTTTTTTTAGCAAAGAATGTTTTATATATATTAAATGAAGTTATGCTTATAAACATGTTATAGCAATATGTAACTTAATTACAGAGAGACCTTTACATTATCAAGAGATAGTATTGGCAGTGACATTACACTGGGCATCCTGGGCAGAAGCAGATGCTAAAGGAAATTATCTCTTAATTAAACACAATCATATCTGTGATGCTATCATGCCTCTAATTCAGGTATTTTATTTTTTGTCAATATATAGTAAATAAAATTTTTTTTACTATTTTCTAAATGTCATTATTTATTATATTTTGAAAATTTAATGTTAACTTATGTACAAATTAGTCTACCTACACAGTTTCATATAAACTGAAATCAATAGTTATGTTATGAAAAGAATCAATGTTTCAATCACAATAATTTTTTATAGGTATCACTAGATTATATACTGATATAAACCAGTAATTCTCAAAGTGTGATCTGCAGATTGACCTAATCATTTTTCAAAATGCAATTTTGTGTTGTTTAGCTAGAGCACAGGTTCTCAAACTTATTTCGACCATCGCCCACTTTGAGATTAAAAAAATTTTAGTGCCCCCATATTTTTAACTTACCTTTTCACATAACTGTCTATTTCATATCTTAAAAACAGTTGTTGCAAATATAATGTTTAAACATGCATTATTATATGGATAGGATAGATAGGGTGGCCCATATCCTATTTCTGAGATCAAAGAATGTTTCAATGAGAAGAAATAAAACTAATATTTAATCACCGACCCTTCTACTGCCCCCTGAAAGCTTCCATTGCCCACAAGGGGACATTATTGCCCTCTTTGAGAAACGCTGAGCTAGAGCATGGGTTGCCAAACTTTTTTCACATAACTGAGATAATGACGAGTATGGGCCGCATAACCATTTTGTTCAATATAGTATATTGAATACACAAAAAATAAAGAAAACTAACATATTTAATTAGTAATACAAAAAACACGATTGCTGCAGCATCCTTGTAATCACTTTTCTTAGATACTTCATTGCAAGTATAGTACTTACACAAAAACCGCTCTGATATCCAAAGTTGAAAAAAGTTGCCAAATTTTTTATTTCATGATTTTCCTAAAAATTATATTGCTGTCAAATGCAAAAATCAGATTAGACAAATTTTGGCATTTTTACTTACACTTATTTTAATTTTTTCTACATAGTAAGTTCATCTACAATCTATGATACAGGTATACCTCAAGTTACGTCGTTCTCAATTATACGTCATTTGTCAAAAAATATATGGAAAAATAAAAATCAAGTTTAAGTCATTTTATTCGACTTTACGTCCGTCCGACAAAAATATTAAAGTCGTAATATCACTAGAAAAGCGTTAAAGCACATAAAATCATATTAAAATATGTACATTTACAGTAAATGTTAATATAATCATCATAAATCCTAGAGAACGAAACATGAAAACATCTGTGTTTCTGTGTTGTCGTCTTATTTAGTGGTCTTTAAGTGCTCAATATTGGTGTTTTCCACGGTAGCTGCAATATCTACCATTTGGCGTTGTTGTCAGCGCCACTCGATATTGGTAAATTTAATATAATTAATTAATAATAATTTAATATAAATTAGTTTATTTTCTACTGTTGCAAGATAATTTTAATAACTGTATTTGTTATTTAACCTTACAAAATCATCTTATTTTATAATTCACCATATTCACAAATAAAGAGTCCGCGATGTACTGTAAACATTGCCAAATTGTAAGCATGTACAGTACATTTACAGGTATGTACTGTACGTACTGTACATGAATTTGTAAATTTAGATTACTTTTTTCAGTACTATATTAAAAACTAAAATTTGTTTGTAAGCTTAAAATAGATTCTTATTAACCATACATTATTAAAAATGCATTTATAAATAAAATACAGAACTGGGAATGGTTATTTGTGGTTTAGCCTAGTGACAAGTAAATACAGAGACAAGTAAATTCGACTTACGTCGTTTTTCAACTTAAGTCTCCTCTCCTGGAACCAATTACCGACGTAAGACGAGGTATACCTGTATTTCCATATAAATAATTATATTTTAGCTCATTTGTGACACAATGTAGTGATGGGCCGTAGTTTGGTGACCCCTGAGCTAGAGGAAAGAATATTTTCTTGCATTAGGTTATGGGCTAGACAAAGTATTATGGTTTACATCTAAGGTGATATTAAAGGATAAGGGAATGGACAGTTCATCTGTGATTTGGTTTAAATGGTCTGTGGATCAAATAACTTTTTTAAATAATTGTCTATATCAGATATTCTTGAAGTACATAAAAAAGGAAAAAAAAAGCATAGAGAAGGCATGACTTTCAATGAATTGTATGTATTCAGCATGAAATATACTAGAATTATATACATAACATTTGTTTTTTCTGTAAATAATTATTAACATAACATTTAATCTGATGATGTAATTCAAAAATAATTTTTTCATAAATATGAAAAATTATCTTAAGAGTCATGTTGCCAATATTGGCTGCCACAATACCAAATGTTCCTCGACTGGGCACCTAGAAATGGTACAGACAGATACAGCGACCTGTAATGATGGTGCCAACTGTGTCTAGATGGCAGACGGTGATATGGTTGGCTGTGTGCATGCTTGTTGGAGGATCGGGAAGTTTTCTTGGCTAGTGGTATGCCAAGAGTATCCTGAGCACTCTCTCTCATCTATTAGTCCCAATACCACCTCATGGTGTTGTTAGAATAGCCTAGGTGGCAGGCTATTCAACAAGATTACCATTCAGCTTCTCTCAACCCGATGATCTTTTCCTCTCCAACTTGGATAGTTGTTTGTATGATTTTCAATTGTGATACTGTGAAGACCACCATTTCCCCCCTCCAAAAATATCTCTATATATGCATTTGTGAACTGTTATTTACGACATTTGTAATGATTTTTGTTTATTCACTTTATTTCAACTTTTTTTTACTAATTATGTATTCGCTTGAACTTTGTTAAAACCTTAACTGTATCTTGAACAAAAACCAAAGTTGTAGAAGGAAATTCGCCTATTTTAACGATCTAGAGACCTCCCATTCCAAATTTTAATATCAACTCAAAATAATTTAAAAAGATGAATTAGAATAAAACGGTTTATTATCCAACTATCAGAAATCTCACAACATGCCAAGGAAGAGAGGAAGGAGCAATCAAATACTGTATTTTACAGACTATAAGACACACTTTTTTCTTTGAAAAATTGCCTCCAAAATTCAGGTGCGTCTTATACTCGAAATTAATATAAAAATGTTCAGTGTTTGATTTAAAATTCCCGCGTCTTAAAAATGGCCATATATTTGATGCCGCGGGAAACCTATCTCTATCTGGCAACATTGAATTCAACTGGCAGCAACAGTGCGCCGATGCGACGAACATGAGTTGTGGGGTGTCGGGATAGAATCGTCTGGACATAAGATTCCCGCGCTTTTTCTTTTTTCAAACGCGCAATGGTTGTCACCATAGAAACTTGGATCACGAGACGACCAGTGGTTCTGAATCCACGACCGCGGATTGGCCAGCGATCATCATACAATTAGTGGACATCCAATAGCGCTACTAAGCGTTGATTGGTGGATCAGTGTTTGCTTCAATCCATATAAAAGGATTGAATTTAGGCAGTAAAAATGATAAAAATGTTATCTTTTTTAAAAATTGCTTAAAAATTAAGGTGCATCTTATAGTCCGTAAAATACAGTAATTAAAATTGTAAAGGATTAAAGAAAAAATATATATAAATGGGGAACATCGCATTTTGCCCCCCTTTGTTTTCGGCGCTGAGTGTCGCGACGAGGCTCGGACTTCTACAATGTTTACATATTAAACGAAAAACTTAGTCAAAGCAATCAATGAATAATGATTGAGAACTATCCCAAAGCAAAGATGAGTCATGTCAACTCGGTGATGACTCTACGAAAGTTCAATGTCATCACCAAATAAGAAAACACCGTCTCAGCTACGATGACAACACTGCCAATGAATCATCACCCGATGACGAACTTTCTCATGCTGGAAGTGTTTAAAAAGAGAGCTCCAACCAGAGAAAGCTCAGATGGGGAGAAAAAGGCAAAACCAGACAAAGACACACACCGGAGACAGACACAAAAGGAGAGAGAAAGAGAGAGTGGACAAGCACCAGACCGAGAGTAGCTCAAGAGAAGATGAGCTCAAAAACGAGCAAGCATCAATAATAGACTAAGAGTGAGAGTGAAACAGGATCAAGAGACTGACCGACTGTCCGAACAGACAAGAGAAGACATCTTGTTTACCTGGTATGTTGTGAGTCACGCAAGTTCGAATACCCCCCGTTAGGCACCCCCTCGTTGTATAGATAAAGATAGGCAAATTTCCAAAAATCGGATTTTATAATTCTGTTCTAAACTTCCATTTTCTGTTATAACCAATTTAAGGAAATTTATTATCTGACTCTGCATTCTTCCTCCTGAGGGACATTCCTGGACTTCAGAGTGTCTCTTACCCTCGCGCCTTAATCATTTATTTCGTCTCAATCAGCAGTGTGTCCGATAAAACACACCTGGTGGCAGGACTACCCAAAAAAGTATGTAATAAATCTTTACGGCCCCTGAACCCCACAATACAGTGTCCTTCTGCAACAGGTAAACTACAAACAGGATGCCTTTTCGTGCTTTTTTTATAGACTAAGGGGGATGCACTTTAATGCACTCTGGCATTATGCAATGAACCATCACACTATAACTCTAATCATTCATTTCCTTATTTTTATGGCAATGGGTGTATTATAAAACTTTTTTTTAATTTAATTCTGATAAAAGATATTACTTTTGTGACTTTATCAGGATATTTTCATTACTTTAATAAAAATCTCAATACCTTTTTTAATCTTTCTATAGCATAACACTTCAAGTTCTGAAAAAAAATTAGTAATTTTAATATACAAATTTATATATTATTTATATAAATAATATACATATTTTGAAATTATGTCCCAAACATAGCATAAATTTTAAATGCAATGTATTCAAATTACATAATCAGTTGGAAAATCTGAAAAAAAGTATTCAATTTTTGTTAGCTATTTTGTTCTACATCGTTTTTTCCTGATATCTATTTTTATGTAGATGAAAACATTAGTAAATCCCCCCACTGTGCTGGTATTGATTTTGTGCATTGTGTGTTTAGTTTTAAATTACAGTTGTAATATTTCTGAAAACAATCTTATATCTTAAATTTTCTTTCCTATTTTACAGACTAGACAACCCCTGTCAATGTTTAGTGAACTGAGATTTGCTGATTTTCGCTCAAAGACATTCAGAAAATTTGTTTTTGAATTTATTGGAGCTAAATTAACTTATTATAAAGATGCAAGAGTAAGTAAGAATGTTTTAGTAACATTTAATGAAAATGCTTTTTGTAACAAATATTTCATTAAGTGTTGTCTTATGCTTATGTAAATTTGATGTTTGGATTGTATTTTTTTTATTTGAATCAGCAATTGTTATTAGCAATTAAGAATTGTAATATAGTATATATTCAACATTGAGCATATGAAAATATGAGGTTCCCATGTTTTGTTCATCATTTGATAATGTTGAGTAACTTTAGCCTGAGTGATAAGGCATACCAACTGGCCATCTTGGTCAGTTGGTATGCCTTATCACTAATTTTATTTTTTGAATGCTTTGGTGAAATGTGTTGTATTGCATGGATCCATATGGAGAGTTACTACACTTCATTGTTGCCAAAAGAAAAGAACATAGTCAAATTCACAAACGAATATACAATATACTAGATGTTACTGAATTTCCACGAAACGTTTATATTACAAATAAAACATACATACAATTACAAGTTCACAAACAACAATTACAAGATGTCAGATGTAACAAAGTTCAAATACATCTAATCCACGACAACAGGTCCGTCGAAAAGACACCTTGCGACGAACTGCGTACAACGTTATTTACCGCACAGCGAGGCGAAAAAATCTTCTAGGCCAGCTTAGGCGAAGTTAGAACAAACATGAGTTCCCTTGATGTGTCCTAGGCGAATTAAACTTCCTGCCTAAACTCAATCCTTTTATACAGATTGAAGCAAATCAGATTCCATCAATCAGCGCTTAGTAGCGCTACAAGATGCCCGCTGATGGTACGATGTCTTCCGTCCAATCCGCAGTCAAGTTTCCAAAAGTTGTCTGATTGGCGTTCCCATGGTGACAACTGTCGGTTGTTTGAAAATACGAAAAGCGTGGGAAATCATGTGTAGGATGATTTTATCCTGACAAACATTTATTGTGAATTGTATGTAAATGCTTCAGCTGCTATTTTATCACCTTGCAGAAAGATATAACAGACTTAAAGTACAATAGTAATTCTAACTATTGTCTACTCCCAAGAGTTTGATGGGCTTAGACATCTTTGTCTTGGTATTGTCAAATAGTTGTTTTTCACTCATTATCCTTGAGTACTCACACTAAGCACTTTTGAACTCGTCATCAGAACTCTGGTCCACAATTTTTTCACTAGCATCTCTAATTAGATTGATGTCCATCTAATTGGATCTATGCCAGTTCCACCCACTCCTGAATGATTTCAAGTATTCAGGTGATAAATAATTTTTCTTCACATGGGAACATATCTTGTGTTGATGTTTAGTAGATAATTAATTGTTGATAGTAATTTAATACCTTTTAGTTGTATTGCTACACTTTTTCCATCGTAGTGTCAGGTCACTGCCAGGATCTCACAACAGTAGAGTGCCAGATAACCCAGTTTCACACATTAAAGGTGAATTGTGGAAGAATACTTTGCTAATAAACATGCAAAAACAATTCATTTCACAAATCTTGGCCAAGCAATATTTGACAATTAAAAAGGGACTCTAGAATTTTTAAGAGCATCAAACTTCTGTACCAGAGCAAAAGAATTTGCTATGATAATGTTTTTTGCAGGGTGCATATTTTTCAATTTATTTCAGTAGATTGATTAAAATGAACCATCTTTTATAAATACTTTTTTCTTTAATGTTTTTGTACAATGAATCAAACATTGTATTATGGACAAGTTTTAAGTTGTGCATATGTATATAACTTTACTAAATTACAGGCAAGTCAACCACTTGGTCAATGGAATGTAGAAGATATTACCTGGTACATTGGAATAGAATCAAAAAGATCCCCTCCCACTAGGTAAATATTACTTAAATTATCTAATAATTTTAATAAATACAGTAAAACCTCGAAAACTCGACTCTCGATTACCCGGCACTCCGGATAACTCGGCCACACCCTGGAAGGGCAAAAAAAATCCTTAGTTAATTAATTTTCATTATAGACAGCTTTATAAAAGTATAAAAGCTCTCATAAAGTATTTTTCTGAGGTCTGTCTTATCAGGTAAATTACTATACACAGTGTATTCATTAATTTTCATTTTTATGTAGTAAAGGCTCTATGCCTTCATAATGGACGTACTTTTCCTTTGTTTAAGGGTATTTTGGCAGTTTATTCTCTGTTGTATTCTCAAGTAAACAATACATACAAGTACAGTACAGTATTTTCTGAGGAAACACTCGTACTTATTTTTTTTTAACCCCATTCCCGATAACTCGGCATTTTCACAAACTCGGCCACCCTTCGGTCCACATTAGGCCGAGTTTTCGAGGTTCTACTGTATTTTATAATAATTAGCCAGTTTTAAATAATGTTTTTCACTTATTTTAGGTGGGGTTTCACATTCATTGATCGCAACCAAACTGTCAAAAGGTATGGTTACTTAATACAGTTTTTAATTTGAAATTATATATTACATTATATTTTACATACAAATAATAATACCAGTTTGGAACTCCAACTGCATGTTAATCATTCATAAAATGATATTAATGCATCACAGTTAACTGATTTCTGGACTTGAAACAATTTGTCATATCTGAGATTCTAAGACACACACACAGACAACATTTATACATGAATAGAGAGATATTTGACAAGAATTGTACTTAACATCTAACACAGGATAATACTTAACAACTTGTAAGATTTTACAAATCAAAGCAATGAAAGTAAATCTTTGGTAAAAAAGATAAACAGAGCAGTTAGACATAGTTTGAGAATGGATAGAAAGTGCTTACCAATACCACACAAATGTATTCCGTACTAACAGATCTCTCACATGTTATTATGGAATATGTTCATATTGAATTGTGATGCAGCATTCATATCGTGATTGGTTTGGTAAAATTTTTCTACCTATCATCACTTGCAATTGTATTTCTCCTTAAGTTTTGGACATGGTATGTAGTTTATATTTCAAATCTGCAATTTTGAGTTGGTAACTCTAGATTAAGAGTTACTTTATTTTTCATATTCACCAACTTAAACATCGGATTATAAAATCTTTGAATTAAAATGAAGAGCTATGTTACAAGCTCTCTGATTTTTCCAAATGAATCATGACATATCTATATGAATTGTCACACAATTTCAAAGTTTTGTAGGCAATGGATTCTCACAGTGAAAGAAACTATATTAACTTTGAGACAAAAGTATTAGAATTAGTTGTAGAAAATAATAATGTGGTAATAAATACAGAGAAAAATATAAAAAACCACAATGTAGTAATCAATTTAATATTTTATTTCAAAAATTTAAAAACAAAAGCAAATAAAAATCAAATGGAAAAGAAAGGATAGAAATTTTTAAAAACTGAAAATTCTGTAATGATGTAATTTTTGTTGCATGTTTTCAACTTGTAAGAGCTTAATTGTTTTCTATGACTATTTTATGTCCATGTTGTATAAATAATTCAAACAATGCATGCAGAAAATCCACAATTTAAGAATTAACACTTGGTGAATGCTGATTTTAACTGATCTTGTGATTTGAATCTTACTGTATCTTTAACTTTTAGTGAATATGGCCATTAGAGATTGTCAGGTGGTGATTTGGAGATTATCAACATTTCATTTCATAACTAAGTTCATTTTACTCTTTAGGTAGAAATATTTTTGATAATATAAAATATATTTGCCAAATAAAAAGAACAATTTTATAATCTCTAATTGATAAGACTTACCTTACTTTAAAAACTGATACTAGATTGTCAAACATGTTTAATGAACAAAAATTGTGAACTGTTTGTTGGATCTTTAAAAATTCTTTACCAAAGCCCAATGAGTTTTTTTGAAAATTTTGTCCATACCTCATGTAGTCTGATACAAAAATATCTTGAGCAAATAATTCCAAAAAACAGATAAATCTACAATTGTTCAATATGATAATTAGTACAATTTGAAATTATATTATTGGCTGCAATAGGATGTTTTCCTATCCAAGCAATAATTTTGCTTTAATTTTCTTAATTTATAATCTTTTCAGGACAAAAGATAATCCATATTTTGGCAGAGCAGTCTGTTGCAATACAGAAGAAGAATTCCACAAATGGGTGGCCACCATGTTGAATGGAGAACATCCCAACAACTTACTACCCCAGCGACCTGTTCCAGACCTGTTGATGTGAATACAAAAACTATTGGAAAGTATATTCAAATGGTCATATACCAGAATCATTATTGTTAAATTTGAATAATGAATTTTATGTTAATGTTACCACAAATACTGTACATAACATATTCACAATATTTAAAGAAACAAAGTGTATCCAACAGTATTATTATATGTATTTGTTTATAGACAGAAAAGCATTCCTCACAGATCTTTGTTGTTTTTACACCAAGATAACCAGAGTTTATATTTTTTCAAACTTGTACTTTTTTTTATAACAATCTAGTTGAGCCTATACAAGATTAATAATGTTGAGATCAATTTATGTATGTGTTGCAGATCATTCTAATCTAGTCTGCATGCTTTGCACATAGGTGAGCTTGGACATGTTAATTTTAAGTCCACTATTAAATTATATAATGTGCATATATGTATTTATTATTGATGATAAATGCTTTTTAGGAATGGCATTTTACATTTATTTGTATCTTTATATAAATATATATATATATATATATATATAAAATATTAATAAAATTTGTTACAATATTTTATACTATTTATTTTTTCATTTACATCATCTGCCTACATACAGTTAGAAGATAAATTTTGATTACTAGCAAACAATTAATTTCAGAGTAATATAGATTAACTCTATTTATGTTGATTTTGAATCATGCTGAAAAAATTTTGATATTTAAACTTGACTGTTAATAGTCAAGAAACAAATTGGATGTAGTTTAAATCCAAACAAAAACATCTGAGTTGTAAAAAAATTTTGCCAAGTAAAAACTTATGACAGTTTAGTCAATAGCCAATTTTTTTTAGGAATTTTTCTTTGATAAAGATAAGCTTGGTGCTTCAAAGCAATACACATAAGATTTTTACCTATATCATTTTTCTACATTTCACTTCCAAGCACCAAGCTTATCTTTACTAAAGGAAAACTCCTACAGAAAATTTTGACTATTGTCTAAATTAGGGGTCCCCAAAGTGGTCCCTTGGGGTCGATTAATAGCAAAAAGGATCAATTAAACTGTCTAGGAAAAAAAATAAATATTCCAATAAAAATTTGAAATACGGATATGATCAACATTACTGACTACCCTAGTTATAACTTGAGTTTTGCCTTAGCCTATGCCGCTTTAAGCATGTGTTACTCTGTTTTCACGCATCTGGCAACTGTACTAGTGTTGCAAACATGTTATGAACGCTGGTAGTTCATTATACATAGACATATGTTGCACTGTTACACTCTACTAGAGTTGTCAGTTCAAGTATTTTATATCTAAATGTAGATATTTTGTCTTTTACAGAGAAAATATCGTAATATATCAAAAATCATTAATATAGTACAGAAGCGTTTTCAAGGAAAAAAGTTACAATTATTCAAGCTCGAACAATCATAATGGCCTTTCAAGTAAAAATTGAGCTATTTAAATCTTCGCTGGCACAATCCGATTTTAAATATTTTTCAAACTTGTGAGTACTAAAAGAAAATGAAAAAATTTCCGACCGTGATTTGGAGATATATATTAAACATCTTGATAAATTAAGGGAAGACTTTAAAGTGCGTTTCGAAGACTTGAAGAATATGCATGTTCCCGAATGGTTTGCTAATCCATTTGATGTAAAAAAAAAAAAATAGATAATGAAAGTAGTGAACCAGGCTTAGAAGATGAACTGATTGAAATATGTGTAGATCTCAAAGCTAAAGCGTTGTTTAAAAAATAAAAACCTCAGTGAATTTTGGAGCAATAACAATATTGCCACTAAATATCTCAAGCTGCTCAGAGCAGAAACCGAACCATTCTTACTTGCATTCCCAACTTCATACATGGTTAAAGTTGGTTTTAACCACGCGAACGCAATTTTGGCAAAACAGGAACAGATTGAGCTTGGAAAACCGTGGTGATTTGCGACAAAAACTTACCAATTTTCAACTGAATAGCAATAATCTTGCTGCTTCTCTTCAGACACATCCATCCCACTAATATCAACTATTTTAATAAAAAGGTATGTTAACATATTTTTAAGGTATTCAGTAGTAGTCGCAAAATGAGAGTAAGAGGTTTTTTCATCCAATATAACTTATGTTATGTTTTCAAAGATAATTGTGTTTTTTACATATTATGACACGTACGGTTTAAGAACTATAGGCAAATTTCCATCCATCCATAATTTTGCTATTATTTTTTAAGATTATAAATTATTGGAAAATATCTTCTTTTTCTGTTAATGTTATTGGGTGGATAAGATATGGGATCTAAAAATTCTTTTGTTGGGTTGTTATGTAGATCTCCTTATCGCTTAACATCAAAAATGCAAAAATGATTTAATGTTTTTTGTTAAATACTTAATCTGGAGGTTGATAAGAAGGCAAATATTCTATAAAGGGGTCGACGGGATAAAAAGTTTGGGGACCCCTAGTCTAAGTCAATGTTTCCCAACCTTTTTTGTGATATGCCCCACCCAAGCCTTTCTAAAATTCTTATGCTCCCCTAACATATACAGTGGCTATACGGTTAACTTAAAATCTGGAAGAGTCCATTTTCAAACTGTACCTCTTAACAATCAAATTGCCCCCCTATGGGGCATGGGCCCTGCATTGGGAAACACTGTTCTAAATTGTCATAAGTTTTTACTTGGCGAAATTTTTTCACATCTCAGATGTTTTTGATTGGATGTCAATTTTGTTTGTTTAATAATTATATTATTACATCAAGACATAAGAGGATGATGTACAATTTGGTCATTGATCAGCAACTGAATGCACCACTGACCAAATGTGCAATCAATCAAACACTTTCAATATTCATTTCAGTTGACACTGACTGAACATGCCACTGACCAATATGTCATTTAGAAAAATCCTTATAAAAATTTTTATAATTCACATAAATTTGAGATTTTGTAATTCTGAGTAACATTTTGAATAAAATTCATTTGTTTCCATGCAATTTTTTTTGTAAGCATAAAATTAAGCCATAAAACTGATTAACTCTATGGGAAACCCTGTGAACTTTGACCTATTAAAGGTCAAAGTTCACAGGGTTTCCCATAGAGTTAATCACCTATTAACCATAGAGTTGACCTGGAAGTTTGATGAGCACCTCACTGATAATGTGAAAGGCTTAAGTTTAAAATTTGAGCTTTCTAGACCTGGCAGTTTTTTCTCTATGAGTGTCTGCAGTGCCGCACGAAGAAAAAGGAAAGAAAATACAGTCGACCCCCCTATAACACTGTTGATAATTCCGTTTTATATGAATTCCATGTTGTATGAGTCACTTAGGTTTTACAAATACATGTGCCAGGCTGTGAATGGCTCACGTATTTGTAAAATCTAAGTGACTTGTACAACATGGAATTCATATAAAACGGAATTATCAAGTGTTATAGGGGGTCGACTGTACAGCTTTTTTGGAGATTTTTGTAATTTTCAATTGTTTATATTTCAGCAACCACATTACAGAAAATCTTGAAATTTTGCATTACATAAGAAAATTTTCCTTCAAACGAGATATTTGGAATTACTTCAGGTGTTTGTGGGCAGAGAAATTGACCCCTGAAAATCGGCAAATCTGATTCCTGTATATGTAGTCGGTCAGTGACTTTTTTACTTGGCAGGGAGGCACTGCCGTGACTCCTAACAAATATTAAAAACCCAAGAACAAAATATTACTGATTTGAAACATCAAACTCTTCAAATTACAGAATACCAAATTCATGTAGAGTAGTTAGACATAGTAAACATGTAGATTTGGCTGGACCAGGGATGGTAATGGATTTTTGCAAGAGCCAATATTTTAGAATTTCTGTACAGACTAATTGCGAAGAGCTATAGGATATGTAAATAAAAAAATACAATTACTTAAGATACTAATATAATATGCATTATGATGATTAAAAACAAAGAAATAAAATTGAAATAAGTTGTCATAATGTTCATTATATTTTTACTAAATGAAATAAATGCAGCAATTCTTTCTAAGATTACAGCACAGTGATATGATATGTTTTCATTAATTAAAAAATACTGTGATTCAAGAAAGGACACAATCCCCAACTAGGAAGGCCAACTTCAGCAACAAGCAAATATGGGAAATATGGGGATAGCATGCAACATGAACAGCGCATCATACCTGTCACATACAACCCGATCTTAGCTTCTGTATATCGTAGAATCGCGAGACAACAAGGAGTGCGCATGGCGTACAGAAGATGCCCCTCTATTTTCCATCTTCTGCGCAATGAGAAAGACAAGCCGAGTCAAGACAAACTTCCTGGGGTGTATGCAGTGCCGCTCACTGACCATAGATGCGACAGAGAATTAGTATACATCGGAGCCACGAAAAGAGCAGTTGGAGTAAGATGAAAGGAACACCAAAAGGACATTATACACAACAGATGTACCACTGCTTTATCTGTATATGCATCGGATCCGGAAATATCTGCGGACTTCGCGAGAGCCAAACTCCTTATCACAACGTCATATGTGGACCAACTCAGATGGTTAGAACAAATAGAAATATGCAAAGCCTACGAATCATCAACCCCCATTAATTCCAAAGATGAAATCACGTTATCTTTGGCGTGGCAAGCCCTAATACGGAAGGGAGATTTAAATTAAAATGACATCGGTACTTATAATAAATTAAAAATAGCTACACGCATTTTCTCCGACTTCCGACATGTTCAAATTTATTCATAAAAAATACATAATGCGACATACAAGCAGAAGATTGTTACATAGCAACTGGAGTTTCGAGTTGGAAGGCACGTGATTCCGAATGGAACCCGAAATACAATATTTGAAATTTTGTTCCAAAGACAGCTGGCATTCTAATGGATCGTTACGAATGGAACATAGCCTGAAGAAGGATCCAGTGGAATCCGAAAACGTTAGCGTAAGCAATTGAACATATTTCACGCTGGTTATAGGTTTGTAGAAAGTTTATTATTGTATTCTTCCGGCGTGTGTCGATTATTTATTTATACATGTGCATAGTTTATTAAACAGTTTATGCTCATCTAAAAGAGTATTTTTCTGATTATTAACTTTTGTCATCTCTCAATTCCCTGTCAAATTTTAATCATGTATGGAGTTTTTAACCTTTTCAACATATCTCGGTTTCAATCCGGCCCTACCTATTGATCTATTTTTATTTTAATTTTTCTCAAAAAAATTTTTCCTTACCAAAAATAGCTCCTTTGTTGATCTGGCTTTCGGTTAGAGTTGTCTCTTTAACGCCTATCCAATTGACATTTTCGTCGGGCCAAACAGTAATTTGCTTGTAAGTTTCCACAGCTGCATAAAATTTCCCAAATCAAAACAGTTCACAAAAAATACTTTGGCAGCCTCTCCAACTGAATTGCATCAATAAAACACTGCACAATAGATTGGTCATTTTTAGAACCTTCCCATCTGCTTCTTAATACAATCAAACTTAACTTACAAAATTATTTATACTGTTGATAAATTTTTACAAACCCACAAAAGTGAAATCTCCTCCCCAAGTAGTTTTCTCATAATCTAAAAATTAGGAATCTTAGAAAACAATGGAAAAAGTGGCAAAGATCTGGTAATCCTTGCAACCTTTATATCCACCATATCATATAAAAACCACCATTTGGAATGCAGCACCAGCTTTAAAACTACTTTCGTAAAATTATATCTTCCTTTGCTACCCACCCACAAACCTTCTGGAGTTTCATCCAAAAAATTTTCCAGAACAGCTCCTAGTAAATCACCTATTGTCCAAGATCACCAAATACACAAAATGTATAATTTTAAAAACTGTTTTAACAATGTACTATCTGTGGTAGAGCTTAAATCTTTTATCATTCATACACTTACCACCATTCATTTTATTGCCTAATATTCTTCAAAATGCTAATGAAATTAAAAGCAGTACAATAGACTTTTTATTTGTGACTTAAAAAGTTTCTGGAACTTGTTAAATGAACCATCAAAAATCAAAATTTAACTTTCCATAAACTTACATATCAAATACTAGTTTGGCTGTTTTATATCTTGCAAAATATGATTTTTTTTTTCTTTTAATCAATTAGCATTTTGTTGATAGAGATAAACAGCTTAACGAGTTATTTCTGTTGAGATAAAACCTGAAAATAATGAAAATACTATGACAGCAGTCTTGTCTTGATCAGTTTTTGTTTAACCTAAAACTATCCCTCTAGTATTAAAAATCAACACACTATTGAACTAGGTATATTCATAAAGTCAGTCACAAACTACTAGTTCTACTTAGCACTTTTGGTCACTTATATAGCTGTTTGCAGCTAAGAAATACAAATGAATGATGCTGAAGTTAGCTTAACATGGTTATATATTGTAAATGGCCAAAAGCATTTCTATGTAATTATTTTCCTAAAATTCCTGAAACTAATTCTGGTAACTCATAACAGTGTAAAATTTCATAGTTTTACAATTTTCTTAGTTCACTTTCTGGAATAATCAATACCTGGTGATATTATTTCTGAAGTCACTCAAGCTTACAAATTGTGGATTAAAAATAAGAAATGACAACTGTCCATGCAAAGCAATCTGAAAAAAATATTGTTTAGATATAACTGTACTAAAAACATTCAAAATTTCAGCTTTAGGAAGAACCATTTTGTAAATGATTGAGTCAAAATGTCCAGTATAATAACGAGGCTGCAATTTTCAAATTGCAGACCTATAAGTTCTCACTGGCATCCATCCATCAGTCCTCCTTAATCTTGAGAATGGAGTTAGATGAAAGTCAAGACAAGATATGGAAAGCTTAGGGGCAGGAGCCCCAATGAACTATATACAAACTTCCGGTTTGGAACGGAAGCCACATTATTTCAACTCAAAAATTTCTCCAGAATGGAGTTATGACTATTGTTAACAGGAAAAGTGTGATGTATGGGGGCAAAACACTACTAAAGTCAAAAGCATATATTTTAAATTAATTTAAATATATGATTACCACAATACTGGGCTACAATTTTTTTAATGTTACAATAAATTTGACTTTACAAATGTCCCTTTATCATACACATTGAATTGGCCAACAAAAAATTCATTACTTTAGTATGTAAATGGCATAATCAATTTTTATCATTCATAAAAGCAAGAGATCCACTATAATCATGGATTTTCTAAATATATGACCATTAAATAAGACTTCAAATAAATTTACAGAAATTAAATTTAATTTCACTTTTTTTTATTTTCATTTATTACATTATGCAATGAATTCGTAAGGAATAGGTTCTAACAACTGTGGCTTATTATCCTTAGTAGAAACAAAGTGAGCTCCTCTGGGTTGAGCGGGCTGAAAAGAAAATTAAGTATTTTAACTATTATAAAACTTAATATCAATATAATTTGAATCATCAAAACTGCAATTACATTTAAAAAAGTGAATTAAACAAATTAATTTTTAAAAATTTTAACAGCTTATTTCAAAAATGTTATATACAGTCGACCCCTATAACGCGGGTTCATATATCATGGCGAAAAAATTGCAACCGTATTCATATAAAGATGCTAAAAGAGACTTGTAAAATGTGGTAAAACGTCATCGCCGACTCGTGTCACAACAGGATTGTCGAATCTGGACCAATAGTGGACGAGCAGCCGAACTACTTACACGCTACGGAGAGTTTAGGCAGGTAAGTTGAGTTTACTATCGTCTGTACAGTATATAAATTAGGTACTGTAAGTCTAATACAGTACTGTAATTTTATACATTTCTTGTGAAAAAAACATTTCTTATTCAACAGCCATAAAAANAATACTGGGCTACAATTTTTTTAATGTTACAATAAATTTGACTTTACAAATGTCCCTTTATCATACACATTGAATTGGCCAACAAAAAATTCATTACTTTAGTATGTAAATGGCATAATCAATTTTTATCATTCATAAAAGCAAGAGATCCACTATAATCATGGATTTTCTAAATATATGACCATTAAATAAGACTTCAAATAAATTTACAGAAATTAAATTTAATTTCACTTTTTTTTATTTTCATTTATTACATTATGCAATGAATTCGTAAGGAATAGGTTCTAACAACTGTGGCTTATTATCCTTAGTAGAAACAAAGTGAGCTCCTCTGGGTTGAGCGGGCTGAAAAGAAAATTAAGTATTTTAACTATTATAAAACTTAATATCAATATAATTTGAATCATCAAAACTGCAATTACATTTAAAAAAGTGAATTAAACAAATTAATTTTTAAAAATTTTAACAGCTTATTTCAAAAATGTTATATACAGTCGACCCCTATAACGCGGGTTCATATATCATGGCGAAAAAATTGCAACCGTATTCATATAAAGATGCTAAAAGAGACTTGTAAAATGTGGTAAAACGTCATCGCCGACTCGTGTCACAACAGGATTGTCGAATCTGGACCAATAGTGGACGAGCAGCCGAACTACTTACACGCTACGGAGAGTTTAGGCAGGTAAGTTGAGTTTACTATCGTCTGTACAGTATATAAATTAGGTACTGTAAGTCTAATACAGTACTGTAATTTTATACATTTCTTGTGAAAAAAACATTTCTTATTCAACAGTCATAAAAATTATTTCTATTAATGATGTCTCCAAAGTTCAACAAATTTTTCACAGAAAAATAACTTATCAGAAAACGCGGGCACCATTTGGTGCGCCGCTCTGCGACAAAAACAAGCTTAAGCAATGGCGTCGTCAAATGGTGCACACTCTGTAAGTAATCCTACAATTTTTTGTTTATAGCATAGTTTATACGAATTATTCCCAAAAAATTATATGTGTTTTGGAAATGTTGAGTCAAATTAGTCTAGACTCGATTAATTTTATGGAAGAAAACCTTTCAAACAGCCGTAGTCCGCAAACTGCACACATGCCGGGCTGTGACTGGCTCATGTATTTAAGGATTCCTACGTGAAATTCTTATAAAGTGGAACGTATCTACCACATTATAGGGGGTCGACTGTACTAGAAAATTTGCACTTGTAACCCAGGTCTTTTAAATTTACTTTTAATGTTTTCAATTTGCTTCAACAAAAACCTTTGTTGTGGTAAAAATATAAAGTATGAAATAATTTATACCTGTCTCTTAAGGGAAACTCTAATCTTCTTCTCCTTTGCTTCTTTCTTACGCTGTTCGTTATCCTTCATTCTCTGAATGAAATCCTGACGACATTTTGAATGCTGGATATGTTCGACTCTCACATTAATTCTTTTTGGGATTATTCGATTTCTAAAAGAAAAAAATAACTAAAACTGTAAAATATTCATTTAATCTTGCGTATTCTAAATATTAACTGTATAAAAAGAGTACACACTGTGTAGAAGTTTAAAAAATTAAATATTTTACTCTTTCCATTCTGTGATTATCAAGAATCCTTTCCACACCCATCACAGATTTGGCCAATCTCACTAGAGGGTTAGGTAGCGAGGAACATATTGTGTCTAACAAGACAACATGTAGGTTAACATTTCATAAAAATTTATGAATTGACCTAACTCAATCCCACAGAGTGACATACTGATCCCTTTACTATTATTAAATTACTGTAAATTGGAGTTACTTTGTGACTGCAGAGAAAATATTGTGACATCACACTAGAACTTACTTTAATTATGACAGGTTTATATCCATTTCAAAATTTATTTGCAGGTAAGATACCAATAGCCTGTACAGTGATGTTACCTGACACTAAAGCTGGAAAGTATAGGATGCTATATTTTACATTATTAGTGTTACTTTCTTCAGTTGTAAAAGAATGTAAAATATCCAATATAAATATTCAGTTGTATAAAAATGAATATTAAAAAGTTCTTCATTTTTGGCTCTTTCTGCCCTTTGGGCAAAAAGAGGGCCTTTTTACCACACTCATTGTGGCCTTTGCTGTCCACAATGGGAACAAACAAAAAGAAAGGGATGGGGCTTGACATCCAGGACAGCCTACCCATAGAAAATTCCTGGGATTTTTCAATCCTGGGTCCCCAGAATGGTAGGCTGACACCTTAACCATTTTAACCACCAATTTAAAAACTTTATCAAATTTAACTCAAAAAAAATATACAGTAGAGCATCAATTATCTGAAACAATTCGGAACTGGGGTTGTTCGGATAACTCAGTGGTTCTCAACTGGGGGTACATGTACCCCTAGGGGTAGGATCATAAATCTAAGGGGTACACCTAACTTTCATTATAAAACGGCGTATGTTAATCAATTTGCTGTAAATTATTAACACAAGAAACAAGAAACGACAAAAATTTGCTTTAAAATATCCCAGTGTGAACACCGATTTTCCTTTTAACAGTCTAAACAACTTGCTTATCCACTTGATTTGCCTGTCTATTTGTGCCGCTAATGCTGAGTGAACCTGTAGTCTAGTAAAATTATGGTTTAACCAAGCATTAATTATTGCTCGATAAGGTTGGGGCTTTTTGTGTTTTTACTGGACTACTGGTATTAGGAATAACGAGGCCTGGATCATATCCCCACCATGCAATGAGTGTCACTGCATACGTGCATTACTTAATATTTAGCAAATTTATATGTTATGTTTGATACAAAAATTGAAAGATTCATGTATAGTCCTGCATGTTATAAATTCGCAGCCATTACTTTCAAGATCAGTACACAATTATAATCTCTATTTAACAACGTCGGAACCAAATTATGAAAAAATTGTTGAAGATTTATCGCAACAAATATCCCATTAACCCCTTCTGAGCCGCGCTCGAGTGTGACTCGAGCAAATTTTATAGTCTTACGTCGTTAAGGCCACTTTTGAAAAAATTATTTTTTTTGAATTTTTGGAATGTTTTTTAGGTCCCCAAATTTTTTCAGAAATTTTTGCGCACGCGAAAAATTTTTATCGCGATTTTAATGAGCCTATGATAAGGCTCGATGAAGGCTTAATGTTTTTTTAATGGGAGTTTTTTATCAAAATTAATTTATCATTCTAAAGTTGTAGCGCACCGATTTTCCTTCGGTAAAGTTATTTAAAGCTGCTTTCTGATGTCAAAAACGACTTCCGATAGTTTTTTAATTTTTTTAATTAATAGATTTTATTATATAGAAGTTTAATTAATTAGGGGGGGTCGGAAATCGCAATAAAAATTATAATTTTTTTAAAATATTTAAAAATATACCGCCAGATTGAAGTCACCCTACTTTAAACCCTTGTCCTCCCGCGATGTCTATGAGAATGTCCCGGGAAATCGGACTCCAGCTGTGTTCAAGGTCACCCAGCTGTGTAAACAATGACTCATCGGTGTTACATTTCACAGACAGGCGAAACAAAGGAAAATAAAAT